TTCAATATTTTCCATGAAAAATTGTACCAATCAAACACAATTAATTACAATTTCCAATAAAATAATTTTTAGGCAAATCAATTCCCTATAAAATATTTTCTTTCCACCAATTTTCCACCATTGCAATCAAATGGACCCTAAGTGCAATGTGATGGTAAGTTTTCAATCAAAAGGATAACAGTGGGACCCATTCCACATGCTCCAAAAATTAATTATTTTTTTAAAAATAAGCGCACTCAAACAAGCACAATTATGCTAAAGTTGTTCACATAATTGTCTTATTGAGCCCCTGTTTAAATCACATTAAAATTTTCATTCTCATTTTTCTACTCATTTCCAACCACATATTCTTCAATAAATAATATTTTCCATCACATCAATAATCATTCCTTTTTTTTTCAAGCACACATTCCTCATCAATCTACTATTCCAACATACATTCTTCCAAAATAATGTGACTCAAATACACCTTGAATGATGTTTACATTCCTCATATTACACTTTGATTTGAGCGTTGCGGGACCTTCGTTAAGAAAACCCAGCATTGCCTTTTAGGTGTTTTCGTTTGCAAGTAAATCTCCAAAATCTACATCACATGGAGATCAGGAATCCCTTGGACTCACACAGATGCAGCGAAAATGAGAAACTTAAAAATGAGTAAAAAAAAGAGAGAGAGAAAAAAATAAGAATTTAACACCATTCAACGTATCACCAATAACTGCAAGAGAAATAAACCTCACAATACAAGAGTTTTCCCTTTTACTTCTCCTTATATGAAACTAGAGTGAATAACTTGCGGCGCAAAATTATTCGTAATTTCTTTTTTCTAATTTTCTCTCTCTTTTTTTTTCTCCAGATTTGAGAATTTATAATTTTTGGTGCCCGAATCTTATTCTCTCTCTGCCATTAGTTGTTGTGACCCTTCAATTGAATAATTCATAAAAAAAATATTAGAAAAGTCGTTATTCCTAATCCTAATTGCATTCAAAAATTCTTTTCATATTACATTACAAGTTCTTTTCTCTTTTAGCCAATATAATTCTAATCTTTTTCCTTTCTTTAGCCAAACAAAAATTCTATTTTTCTTTCTATGATCTAACTCTTCTATTTTATAAATTTGAGTCAAAGCAAACATAAGATTTTTGTACAT